GTGGCATAATTAAATAAAGATTTTTTTACTATAAAACTTTTATATATAATAAAACATTTTTTGATACTCTATTTAATTTACGAAATATTGAAAATCGAAATATTAAAAATTGTTTATATTGAAAATAAATTTAAAAAATCGAAAGCCTCTATATTTTTGAAGAGTGGTTTTACCCTTTCAAAGTGTCTTTTAGCATCAACTAAAATTTAACAAATTATTGACTTTATTTAACCTACATTTATGCCAAGTTTTATTAAAATCAGAATTTTAACACGATAATGTATTACATTACAAAGGGTACAAAGGGTGAATTTTTAAAAATATATATTTTTTTCGAAAAATGTATGACACATTTAAATAAAGACAGTTTTTCTATGAAATTTTGTATAAAACATTTTTTGAAGTTTTATATAAAACATTTTTTTATATTAGGTGTACAACTTTGCTTCCGCCGTTTTCCTATAGATGGTTTTAGCGGTAAGTGATGGTCGAAATAAATAGATCATAGACGTCATACAATAAACTTGGGCATCTGTCAATATAACCCCATAGAAACATTAGTCGATTTGTGTCTGTATCATAAAGTTATTCTCGATTGAAAATGTCAGTTTACGAGCCAAATTCTTGTCATTTGCGGGAGGTTTTAATTTTCTGCTTCAATATGAAGAAATCTGCGGCTGAGGCTCATCGAATGCTCTTAAATACTTATGGTGAGGCCGCTATTAGTGAAAGAACGTGTCGTGAGTGGTTTCAACGCTTCAAGAACAGTGATTTTGACGTCGAAGACCGGCATAGCAGTGGAAGAGAAAAGGTTTTCGAAGATGCAGAATTGGAGGCATTACTTGATCAAGACTCGTGTCAAAATCAAGAAGAATTGGCACGATCATTGGGAGTGACTCAACAAGCCATTTCAAAACGTCTCAAAGCCATGGGAATGATTCAGAATTAAGGAAATTGGGTGCCGTACGAATTGAAGCCGAGAGATGTTTAACGGCGTTTGTTTGCTTGTGAATAGCTGCTTGAAAAGCAAAGACGGAAGGGATTTCTGCATTCCATTGTGACTGGGGACGAAAAATGGGTTCATTACGATAACCCCAAGCGCAGAAAATCATGGGGAGTTCCCGGCCATGCTTCCACGTCGACGGCCAAATCGAATATTCACGGTTCCAAGGTTATGCTCTGTATTTGATGAGACCAGCTCGGCATAGTGTATTATGAGTTGTTAAAACCGACTGAAACAATCACAGGCGATCGGTATCGAACGCAATTGATGCGTTTGAGACGAGCATTGAAAGACAAACAGCCATAATACAACGAGAGACACGATAAAGTGATTTTGCAGCATGACAATGCTCGACCCCATGTTGCGAAAGTGGTCAAGACATATTTGGAAACGTTGAAATGGGAAGTCCTACCCCACCCGCCGTATTCTCCAAACGTTGTTCCCTCTGACTATCACTTGTTTCGATCAATGGCATACGGCCTGGCTGACCAGTACTTCCGGTCTTATGAAGACCGGTAAAAAATTAGATCGATTCGTGGATCGCCTCAAAAGATGACCAGTTTTTTCGACACGGAATTTGTACGCTGCCCGAAAGATGGGAGAAAGTAGTGGTCAGCAATGGACAATATTTTGAATCATAAATGTATAACCAGTTTTTTACAATAAAGCCTTGAATTTCGGAAAAAAAAACGGCGGAAGCAAAGTTGTACACCTAATATTTTATTTTGTTTACAAATATATTGAAAAAATCGAACATTTCTGTATCTTTGAAGGGTAGATTCATCCCTTCATATCGTTTTTTAGCACCAAGTGAAATTATCTAAATTCATCTATTTACCTAATCTACATTTGTGCAAAGTTTCATTAAAATTTGAATTTCCGAGTTTGCGAGATGTGTGCAAACACACTAGATTTTTCTTTCACATATTCTGATACGTCACATATTATATAATTAAATGGAAAAATTCAAGGCCTTACTCCAGGTTTATGGTCATATAGATATTGGTATTTTGAATACTTGTTATCCTTATCTGAGTATTATAGATGTTTAACGAATAGAATTGTAAATGTATTGTATTATAGCGTGCTGATTTTAATTAGATATTAATCTATACCATTTACTTTCAAACACAAACACGACAACGGGGAAACATAATATTGATATACATCAATTTGGGCGAAAAACACTGTTAAGTGATGTTTTGCAAAAAAATGACTAAATATTTGTAATAAATATATATTAGTTTACATATTCGATTACATACTAGATTACATATTAGCTTTTATAATTATTTACAATAATTACCACCACCGTCGTGCCAAGTATGCGTTTATTGTGAATATTTATAAGTTTCTATAACATGTCCTATGAGATAAATTACTGTAAAAGAAAATGATCTGAAATATTTGCAAAAACTTTTTTCTTTGAATTCGTTATTGTTTAACTTTACACGATATGTATGTATTGTAAAATTGACTCAGTCAAAATCTAACTTTTTGAAACTACCGTCTACACCAAACAGATCACTAGATGTTTTGCTTTTGCCGATCCGCAGCGACTCGTCTACCCGTTTATACTTCTCGTCCTCCAAAAACCATTCGTGAAAGTTCTCAAGCTTTTTTAATTGCGCATTCGTTAATTCCCGTATGGTACCTGCTTTTCCACCAAATTCATCAGGTAACGCTTCGATCGGAAGATATTCGTTTACGCTTTCCAATGTCGAGTGGATATGTATCTGGAAAAAATACAATTTTTCCTTATCATATATTTCTTATTTTACAAAATTCTCCGAAAGACTTTAATAAGCAAACGTTGTTACTTAATATTACATCAGTTTAAATATGTAATGTAATCTTTTCTACTGTTGAAATATAATTTTTTAGTTAATGTATCATCTTTCATCTTTCTTATTCTACAAATAACAACTAATAGTCAAAACATTTTCTTCAAAGAATATTTATTAGAAAAGTCTCATGTAATTTTACCAGATTTATCAATTTATCACTGAAGAAAGGTTTAATCATGTTGTATAATATTACGGCAGCTGGTGACATATTTATTAGGTGAACTGCCTTAATGCGCATTAATATGACACCTTGAAGATAGTATACAACTTTCTTTAGTGATGTTAAGTTAAAACGTCCCACATGTCCTATTGTGAAGTCCGCAGCATTGCACATATAGACAAGTCCCACTATCGAACCGCGAGTCCATAGAAATTCGTCGTACGTCATTAAAAGCGCACTTAAAGATTCATTGTGAAAAAAATGCGAAGGATTCGCATCGATAAATTGTCCTAATATTATATTATATCCTTCCTTTGTTGTACTCTCCAGTACAATGTGGGGCCTATTTTTAACAAGAATAGCATATAGAATTTTAGGTATATAAATTTTGGTAAATATTACGTGTAATGAAATACGGCTGATCTTGACATATACATATACATATATACCAAAACTTTGATATTGACAATATATTTACCTTAATAGTCTGAATATTTCAGTTGTTGGTCACTGTTTTCTAAAAAAGTTATTCCCAATTAACCCAAGTTAACCTAAGTTAAAAGTTTCTCACTATAATGTTACGTCCCGTAGGGCCTCACGTACCTTTACATTGCGTAAAGACCGATTACTTATCCGACCGGGTTACAAAAGTCAAGTACACAAAAGGAACGTATAGTGTTAGTGTAAATATAAGTAGAGGTAAAATTCAATATATATCTCTCTATCAATATATATCTATCTAATATTTATGAAACTTTTATTGTTAACAACTGTTTAATAAACAATGAGCGACAGCTTTTGAGTATCATGATGATTTTGATAACACATGTCAAAATCACGACCGTATAAACACAATATTTATCCAAATTCAACTTATTACAACTTATCCTAAAAATCCATTTTGACTACCGTTTTAATATAATGCACATTAACGTAAATATATATTATGCTTATATACATAATAGATTACGTATGTATTCAAACTATATAATGGTCAGTATAGAGAAACATTATACTTACATGACTTGAAAACTATCTCGCAGTCGTTTCACTTTCAATATGTCTCTGTTAGAGAATAATTCCGGCGCGTGAGTTCTATAAGTGTAATAATTCTCGATCGTATTCTTCGCCGACTCTATGTGATAGTAACTAAGGTATAGAAATATGGCAAGCTCTACGTCTTCGATTTTCGGCAGATGAGGTTGTTTTTCACACCATTCTCTCAGAATTTGTATATCTGACAACTTTAGTTCTGAATTTTTCTTTAGTTCTCCTTCGAGAGTAATACACTTTATGGAAGACATCACTTAGACTTAGAACTCGTACTTTTTGTAAGTTTTTCTTCCACTTCACTGAACTGATACAAAACTGATCCACTTCACTCTACAAAACTGATTTATCTTATTTACCGCCTAAGGTGAATGTTTAATTATCAAATTCCTAAATTTTTAATTAGTCGTTTTGATGAAAAGTAATTGACCCTATTTGTTAAATTGTGTAATAAAGTTGTAAAGCTATTAATCAGTGACTATTTTGCTTTCTGGGAAAGAAAATGTTCTTGTCAGACGTTTACTTGACTATCTCGATTCTACGCTTATTGTGTTACTGTTCACTATTATCTTGCTTGACTATCTCGATTCTACTTGACAATTATCGTCTTGCTTTTATAATGACAGTAAAATACTTCGTTCAAAGGTTAATTTGCTTTAAATGTATGATTAGACTTCAACTTCTTATGACTTGTAAATTGATTCTTTTCTTGCTTCTCAGAACTGTATCTTATCCACTTTGCAATAAAAACGACGAACATCCATTTTGCATTTTATTATTTATAATAATTGTAACAACCGACATATATGTGTTTATTGTAAATATTTATAAATTTCTATAACATGTTCCATAAATTGCTTAAAAAAAAGAATAACCTGAACATTTCCAAAAACTTTTTTTTTTGAATTCGTTATTGTTTAACTTTACACAACACACACACACACACACACACACACACACATATATATATATATATATATATATATATATATTGTAAAATTGACTCAGTCGAAATCAAACTTTTTGAAACTACCGTCTGCACCAAACAGATCACTAGATGTTTTGCTTTTGCCGACCTATAGCGACTTGTCTAGGCTTGATATACATTAATTGGCGCGAGAAACACTGTTAAGTAATGTTTCGCCAAAAAAATGACTAAATATTTATAATAATTACATATTAGCTTACATATTTGATTACATGCTACACGGAAAAAAGTTTTGGTTGAATTAACCAAATATCTGGTCGAATATGGACGATCCAGAAATTCCGATTGAAGTAACCCGAATTCTGTTTAAGTCAACCAAAAATCTTGTTAACTTAAACAGAATTCGGGTTATTTCAATCGGAATTTCTGGATCATTCATATTCGACCAGATATTTAGTTAATTCAACTAAACCTTTTTTTCCGTGTAGATTACATATTAGCTTTTATAATTATTTATAATAGTTACAACAACCGATGTAGCAAGTATGCGTTCATTTTGAATATTTATAAGTTTCTATAACATGTTCTATAAGAAAAATTACTTTAAAAGAAAGTGATCTGAAATATTTCCAAAAACTTTCTTCTTTGAATTCATTATTGTTTAACTCTACACGATATATATTGTAAAATTGACTCAGTCGAAATCTAACTTTTTGAAACTACCGTCTACACCAAACAGATCACTAGATGTCTTGCATTTTCCGATCCGCAGCGATTCGTTTACCCGTTTACACTTCTCGTCCTCCAAAAAAAATTCACGTAAGTTCTCCATCTTTTTTAAATGTACATCTTGTAATTCTCGTATGGCACCTGCTTTTCCACCAAGTTCATTAGGTAACGCTTCGATCGGGAGATATTCGCTCACGGTTTCTAATGTCGAGTGGATGTGAAACTGCAAAAAACGAAATTTTTCGTTATCGTACACTTCATATTTAATAGAATTCTCTGAAAAATTTTGATAAGCAAACGTTGTGTGAATTTAATATTATATAGATTTAAATAGATAATATAATTTTTTCTATCGTTACAATCTAATTTTCTAGTTATTATATCGCCTTTGCTTTTTCTTATTTGACAAATAATAACTAATTGTCAAAACATTTTTTTCAAAAAATATTTGTTAGAAAAATTGTATGTGATTTTACCAGACGTGACAATTTATCATTGAAGAAAGGTTTCATCATATTATATAATATTATTGTCGCCTGTGACATATTTATTAGATGGATTCCTTTAATACGCTGCAGTATGACATCTTGAGTATAGTATACAAGTTTCTTTATTGTTGTTATGTTGAAACGTCCCACGTGTCCCATTGTGATGTCCGCACCATCGCAGACGTAGATAAGCCCCACTACCGAACCGTAAGTCCACAAAAATTCGTCGAGCGTCATTAAAATCATATTAAATATGTCATTGAAAAAGTAATGCGAAGTATTTGTATCAATAAGTTTTGTTGCCATTATATGGTATCCCTCCTTTGTTGTACTCTCTAGTATAATGTGAGGCCTATTTTGAACAAGAATAATGTGTAGAATTTCATGTACAGAATTTTTAGTAAAATTGCGTTTAATGGAATAAAGAAATATAATACTGACTTTGACATATATATAATAAAGATCAAATCTTTGAATAATACTCCCAAGATTTTTGCCGTTTAGTCACTATTATTAAAAAATGTATTCCCACATGAAGTTTTTGGCTGTATATAATGTCAGAGTTTAATATTATCATTATTATTAAACTGTATATAATAAACTAAATTTTCATTTCACGCAAAAGGTTTTTGTTACAATAACTGTTTAATTTCGTGATTATTATCTCAAACTGAAAATATTTAGCTAAATTTTTATTTCACGGTTATATACACAATATTTCGATAATGTCATATTAATGTATGCATCTACTATTTAATGTTTTTTATCTATCATACGTCTTAGTGTTAGTAAATATATAGGCTTAAGAGAAACTCAATATATATTTTATAATTATTAAATTTTTATAATTAATAATTGTTTAATAAACAATGAGGGACAGCTGAAACCTTTTGAATATTGTTTAGGATAATAATTTCGATCACATGTCAAAATCATGACCGTATAAATGCAATATTTATCCAAGTTTAACTTATTATAACTTATCTGAACAACCAATTTTAAGTTATTTTAATGTAATGCACATTAACGTAAATATATTTTACTCTTATATACGTAATAGATTACGTATGTATTTAAACTATTTAGCGCTCAATATGGAGAAACGTTGTACTTACATGACTTCAAAACTATCTCGCAATTGTTTCACTTTCAATATATCTCTGTTAGAGAATAATTCCGGCGCGTGAGTTCTATAAGTGTAATAATTCTCGATCGTATTCTTCGTCGACTCTATGTAATAGTAACTAAGGTATAAAAATATGGCAAGCTCTACGTCTTCGATTTTCGGCAGATGAGGTTGTTTTTCGCACCATTCTCTTAGAATCTGTATATCTGACAACTTTAGTTCTGGATTTTTCTTTAGTTCTTCTTCGAGAGTAATATACTTTATGGGACACATCACTAAGACTTAGAACTCGTACTTTCTGTAAGGTTTTCTCCAACTTCACTGTCAAAACTGACTTATCTATCGCTTCAGGTGAGCGTTTATTTATGAAATTCCTAAATTTTTATTTAACCGTCTTGATGGAAGATAATTGATCTTATTTGTCAAATTATGTAATAGGAGTACAAATAAAACTATTTAGTTATTGACTATTTTGCTTTATGGAGAAGGAAATATGCTGTGTTAGATGCGTGATTATTTCGGTTCGACGTTTCATATAATACTGTTTGCTGTTGCTTTTATCGAATACGATATGTCTAAAGGTTAGCTTTATACATAATACATAATGTTTGTTTCTTATAGATTTGTGTGATCTTTTCTGGTTCTTTCCTGGTATATTTTATAAGGATAAAACATGAACTTAACGAGAACGTTTATATAATGTGCATTTGGCTCTTCAGTACGAGTAGTTTATTTTAATAATTTATACGAAATATACTTGGAAAATATTAAGTGTGATAATTATAATCGGATTTTATATTTAATTTATTTTATATTTAAGATCGTCTTAAAGTTAACTTTATCTTCAGATGCTGTGTGGATTGTTTCATTAGCTACCAAGTATCTGAAGATAAATTTAATGAAATAAAACTACATTCGAGAGGATTTTTCTTTAGTTCTTCTTTGAGAATAGTACACTTTATGAGAGACATCACTTGGACTTAGAACTTCTTGTAAGTTTTTCTTCCACTTCACTGTTAGATCTATTTTATTTACCGCCTTAGAGTGAGTGTTTAATTATCAAATTCCTAAATTTTTAATTAGTCGTTTTGATGAAATGTAACTGATTCTATTTGTTTAACTCATTAAGGTCAAAGAGAAAACCGCTAAGGATAAGCTTTCAAAAACCATCTAAATTAGGGCAAAACGTCGAAATTTGTTAAAAAGTGAGAACAAAATTTGTGTTGGATTTAAAAATTTAAAATGGCGGATCAATATGTCGGTCCGAAAATTTGAAATTTTGACCTATTTGAGTAAAATCCGTATAGAGGAGGTTTGTAGTTCGTTGAGTATGAATATACATTTATTTTTTCAAAATTCGTAATGGCAGATTCAATATGGCCGCCCAAAAATGCGAAAATTTGACATAGTTTTGTTATTTGGCGAAAAATCCAACCAAATTATAAGCTACCTTTCGAAGGTGTTTGTTTTGGGGCAAAACATCATACTTTAGCAGATTGTAGAAGAAAAATGGTTTTTTTGACTTTAAAAATCAATATGGCGGTCAAAAATTTTTTATTTTGATTTATTTCAATGAAAGTACGTTTTGAAAAATTTTGAAAAAATAAGTGCATATTTATACTCAGCGAACCCAAAACCCCCCCTAATATCACGGCTGCTCAGTGTTTGCGGTTGCAGTCGCGCTCAAACTCGTCGCTTAAATCACTGTTTTTTTATATTGGTCTACCACCTTCCTTTTATTATGGCGATAAGGTCGTTCAAAGTTTACTTTGCACTAAACGTACACGTGATTAGTCACCGGTTCTTTGTGATTTACATAGAGGTTTTTTTAATGGTTCTCAACTCCTTTTTTTGTAAAAATAAGAAGTGTATAACGAGAATAAGTGTTTATATAACATACATCATGCTCTCTAATAGTTAATTCCAATAATTCATACTAAATATACTTAGAACGCTTTTGATTATTGAAATATTTTATATCAGAAACTATATAATTGATAATTGTTCTCTCATAGTGTATTCGGACCTCAGTCAGTCGATCTTGAGTTATTAAACCTAGGGATTCTATAATAAGAGTCTGGACATAAGGAAATCAGTTTTGATGGGTTTATAAAATATTGGCAATTTCCGCTCATATTTGAATCACATAAATCTGATCATGAGTATGAACATTATATTTCAGTTACGTAAATAATAAATTTGAAAAAGTTTGAAAAAGACTGCATATTGTTATTTATTTATTTTTATGTAAAATTGTATATAAAATAATATATATTAAGAAGTTACATACATTTAATGTTTGTTTCATTGTCCATAAAAAGTAATACAATGAAATGTATGAAAATAAAACGAAACATTTCACAAAATACAGCATTTTTTATTGGTTCCTAATTCTTATACGGTATATTTTGTATCCATAAAGCCCGACGTGCAGGGCTTATCATTATTTTTACATTTTTGATACATTTGTCTAAGAAACACAGCGTTGACCTGATTAAAGAGACTATCGCTATCGAATTCCAAATGTAATAATAATAATAATAATAATAATAATAATAATAATAATTTTATATTTTTTTATGCTCGACTATATTTTAAATGAGCCTCGCTAAAATTTTTGAAAGATTATGATAATAAAATTATAATCTTTAATTATATGAAATATAACATAACTGTAGACGAAAAATTTATTTGGGTGATCACAATAACAATATTTCGCACAATGGCTTGGCCTGCTAGCTATACAAATCTCAACGAAGCCGTCAAACTTCTGCTTTTGCGATAGACCACGGGAAACTGCCGATTGCGACCCGCTAGTCCTTTTTTCTCGCGAGATCCCTAATTTCAATTTGGTCAGATAGATCTGATTTCGCGTGTCAGTCGTGAGCTCATACACGCACTCGCACACCTAACGTTCACTTCTTTTTCACACGTTACATTTTGTATCTTTTCCTTTTTGACTACAGTACGTTGTATTGAAGTTTATTTAAAAAATTATCCTGCTTAGAAATTAATGCAGGATTTTTGGATATGATTTTCATTTTATATCTCTTAGCAACTAAATTATTTCAAAATGGTGTTGCATATTCATCCATTTTTACAATTCTTCGAATATTTTCTTACTCTTCATCCAAACTAACAATGTAGATTGGGTGAATGTCAGGCTAGGTTAAAGAATAAGGCTAGATTAAAGAATAATATAAAGAAAGAACCTTCTTTCTCTTGCATGATTTTGCTTGGATCTCCTTATATCCAAATTCTTATTATATTATAAAATAGTAGTGTAATTCGAAATTCATGCATTCTTTATTTCATATTATTGCTACCCCATTAATTGTATAATTATTTTTTTAGATATAATTAATTATATTTTATACGTATCTTAATACATAATGGTATTATAGCATTGGTTACTGAATGACTTAATATCTTAATGCTTATAAATTCCTGTAACATTATATATATTATAAAATAGACTTAGTCAAATTCTATCGTTTTGAAACTACCGTCCACGCCGAACAGATCACTAGATGTTTTGCTGTTGCCGATTCGCAGCGACTCGTTTACCCGATTGTTCTTTTCGTCCTCCACGAACCATTCGCAAAAGTTCTCTATCTTCTTTAATTGTATGTCCATTAATTCTTGTATAGGACCTGCTTTTCCACCAAGTTCATTTGGTAATGCTTCTATCGGAAAGTACTTTTTTGCACTTTCCAATGACGTGTGAAAGTGTATCTGCAAAGAAATATCACTCAGTACTACATTTTTTTATTAAACAGAATTTCTGGAAGACTTTAATAAGTAAACGTATGTAACGTAGTATGATATTGTTGCAATCTTTTCTAACGTTATAATCTAAATTTCTTAAATATGTTATATCGCGTGCTCCTTTCCTTCTCTTCCTACGAGAAGCAACGAATCGCTAGAATAATAATTTTGTCGAGGATGAATGATTTGTTAAAATTTGAAGTAATTTTACCAGATTTTTCAGTTCCTCGCTTACGAAAGGTTTTATTATGTTGTACAATACTTCCATAACTGGCGTTGTATTTATTATGTGGATCTGCTTCAGGCGTATTGGCATGGCATTTTCAACGTAGTATATAAATTTTTTCATTAATGCTAAGTTTATACGTCCCACATGTGCCATTGTGAAGCCCGTGGCATCACCGACATAGATATTTCCTAATACTGATCCACAAGTCCAAAGAAATTCATCGAATATCATGAAAGCAGCATTTGTCGATTCATTGTAGAAGAAATGCGATGGATCCATATCGATAAGTCGTGACATCACTATGATATATCCTTCCTTTGTCGTAAGTTTTAGTGGAAGTATGGCCCTTTTTCACCAAGAGTAAAATTATTTATAGAAACTTCTTATACATGAATTTTTATTATATTATTATAAATATAATTTCTAAATATAATAGACTATATAATTTCTAAATGTTATAATTTTTCAAAACTAGAATTGTTGAAATTTTATAAACGAAATTTGTGACGAGACTATGTAGACTATGAGACTATGAAATTATGAGACAAGTATTTATACGTATGATAAGTTACATAAGTACATGTTCAAGTTGTAAGTACATGTTTAGCTGTCAGTATCGAGAAACTTTATGCTTACGCGACTTTAAAAGCATCTCGCAGTCGTTTCACTTTCCGTATATCTCTGTTGGAGAATAGTTCCGGTATGTGAGTTCTATAAGTGTAGTAATTCTCGATTGTGCTCTTCGTCGGCTCTATATGATAATAATTACTGTGTAGAAATATGGCGAGCTCCACGTCCTGGATTTTCGGCAGATGCGGTTGTTTCTCACACCAATCCCTTAGAATTTGTATATCTGACAACTTAAGTTCTGGGTTTTTCTTTAGTTCTTCTTCGAGAGTAATACACTTTATGAGAGACATCACACTTAAAGGTCGTATTTTCTATAAGTTTCTCTGTCACTTTACAAACACAATTTTAATTTATCTCATTTATTGTCTCTATTTATTTATTAAATTCTTAATAGAATTTATACTGTTTGTCAAATTGTATGATAACAATGCGAATGAGTTTATTTGATTAATGACAACTGTCAAATTGTATAATAATGCGAATGAGTTTATTTGATTAATGACAATTTTTCTTTCTGAAAAACGCGATTCGCTGCATCAAATCTTTATGTAACATCTCCTTGCAACGTTTATGACGCACTGCTCGTTACTGCAAGCTATTCATGAATAAAAAAGATCTTGACCACTGATCTTCCCCACTTTTGTGGTGAGCATATTTCAACTTCATTTCTTCATATGTATCTTACGTATGTATATCTAATGCACTATATCATGATCAGGACTTGTAATATATATTTTATACAAAAATATTTAAAATTGATTATGTAACATAATGTGTGCGCCTTTTTCTCTCTCTTTTTCTCTGTCTATCTCTGTCTCTCTCACTCTCTTTTTAATAGACATTTTCTATAATTCGCATTTGGAAAAGCTGGCGTATATATATATATATATATATATATATATATATATATATATATATATATAT